GCTACAGCAGGTTAACACAACTACAGCTTGTGTGTTTGTCCTTAGGTGAACTTCGAGGAGTTTAAAGAAGGCTTTGTGTCCGTTTTGTCTCGTTCTCTGGACTTCAGCACCTCAGAGGACGACAGCAGCTACCTGGAGCCAGGTCAGACTGATCAGGTTATTGGATCGGTATCGATCGGTGGTGTTGGTATTGATCGGTCTCAGGCCTGTCTGACTCCTGCTAACTTCTTCCTGTCAGCGGCTCCAGAGGAGGTGAAGCCGAAGTTTGTGAAAGGAACGAAGCGTTATGGCCGCCGCTCTCGTCCCGACAGCACACCTGAGGCCGCGCTCACCTGCGACTCGGAGGACTCGCCGCCGTGCAGAACCGAGGCGTCGGATTCGTCGCCGATCGGCGTCCGCAGAGCCAAGCTGAGACGGGCCACGTCTCTGGAGAGCGTCGAGGTGAGTTCCTCTGAGGGGGAGGATCTTCTCTTCGTGTCCAGGTGTGGGCAGGTGTCTCGTTAACAGGTGAACCAATGAGACGCCACCTGGTGGAGTGTCCTCCTTCTCAGTGTGATCGACAGTCACCTCTGGGAAGCTGAGCTTCTGTCTGGAGCTCTGAACACCTCACAGCACATTTCACACATTCAGGAGCTGTTCTGCTCACGGTTCTGCTCACGGTTCTGCTCACGGTTCTGTGTTTTGGGGTTTTTCTCTCCAGTGGAAATCAAAGTTCAGTTAAACTCAGAAGCTTTTGTTTTTTTACAGATACTTTTTTATACAATTTCTGTGATTTTGATGAAATCTTCCAGTTTTTGGCTCGCGTTCAGATTGGGATTGAAACTGCGACGTTCAAAGACTGTCAGGACGTGGGACGTTTCTGCTCTCACAGTTTGTGGCTGATTGAGTCTTTACAGTCTCAAACGTGGAATCAGCTGAGTGCAGGAACGTTTCTTCTCCTCGCGTCTCTTGTGGAGGTTGGCTTATCGTGTCAGCAGGTTCTGTTGACGTGAAGCTGCAGACGGTGTTTCTGGACCACCTGGAGGATCCTGGTCCTGAAGCTTTCAGGGGAAATTATGGGATGTTTGGGCACCAGCGAGGCTCTTTAATGTGGGTGAGTCTGAGGCGTGGTGCTGCAGATGGGAGCTGGACTGTCAGAGCTCCACAGGAACTGTGGGAGGTGAAGCTCGCTGCTCTCTCTGCTGAAGCCTCACGACTCCACATTCTGCTGGCTGAGGTCCGGCCGTCTCACATATCCAGAGATCCAGCAGAATCCCTGGAGGGGGAGGAGGAGCCAGAGGGAGGGTTGGTGGTTTTGGGGCGGTGGAGGTTGTTCAGGAAGTGGGATTGTGAGGAATGTGGCTGCTGGCAGACGCTGGGCTGGTGGAGGAGCTGCAGCAGGAAGCTGCTGCTGCTTCAGCCTGTGAAACGGAGGAGACCGTCTGACGTCTTCAGTCATCGTGGCTTCCTTCAGCTGCTGGATGGTGATGAGACAGATGTGGAACACGGAGCTGAAGCAGAGCATCATGTCGGTTCTGATCCGTCTGCTCGTCTCATTTGAAGAGTTCAGGAGCTGCAGCTAACGCTGAACCTTCAGTTGCTGGACTCACTGTGTACCGTCGCCATGGTTACAGATGTTAACTCTGTCAGACGGTGGATCTGATCCTGGTTCTGGTTCTGTCTGTGCTGTTGCTCCATTCCGACTGTCTGCTTAAAATACTGAACAGCTTTATGTAACTGAAGCGCTGACAGTTACATAAAGAGCTCGACCCGGTCCAGTGTTGGGCTTCACTGTGAGCGGATCGACCATCAGAATGTTGGTTCTTCATGGCGCTGCTGTAATGAACTCATTCAGATCCAGGACTCTAAACGAGTTCTGTTGGATCTGCAGCAGAGTCAAGAACAACCAACACATTTAGGAGGAAGGGCACATCTGGGTTCTGCTAGAACCTGACACCAGATCAGTTCTACATCCATCCAGGTGTCTCAGTCTGAACACTGGACCTGGTTCTGTTCATGTCCTCTGTGTGCAGCTGGTAGCATCAGTATTATGGGATGGATCATAGTGGTATCAGTTTAATGTCTATGACACAGAGTCATAGAAACAATCAGTGGTACCCTGGATGTGGTTCTGGTTCTGATCAGTCACCAGAGGAAACTTTACAAAGTGCATTCTGGGTAAACGTTCCAGGCTCATCAGCATGTGTGATGGTGGTTGGTCAGAACCAGTTCTAGACAATGGAAGAACCGTTCTACCTCCAGAACCTACCAGAACCATCTACAGACTGGATCCAGTCTGTTAGTGTGAGGATGAGGATCAGACAGAACCACTGATGGAGTTTATTGTCAGAATTCATCTGCTGCTTTGTTTGTTGCTTCTTCTGTTGTTTGACTTGTTTATTTTGTTGTTATTGTTTTTGTGGTGTTTGTTTATCATTAAATATGTTTCTTGTTGATTTTTGTTTAACCTGCAGCAGTGTTGATCCTGGACTTGTGTTTCCTGTGAAGTGGTTTGCAGGACTTTAGAGCAGAAAGGTTCTTCTCTGGGTTCCGGTGAGAACAGTTGCACAACACTGTCCAGTATTTACTGATGTTCATCGCTGGAGGCTGAACGTTTGCTCCGGGACACACGGCCTTCGTTTTTCTGATCAGTCGTCAACATCAGCCGTGATGTCACAGGTTCAGGTTCCCACAGGGGGTGGAGGTGGGGGGCTCCATGCTAAGCTCTATAGCGTGACCGCGGGCGTCTTTACATGAACTCACTCGCACAATGCGCTCAGTGTAGCAGAAGTAAGAGCGCTCAGGAATTCCCTGTGATTGCTGCTCACGCTCTCCTCCACAGATCTCCTCCACAGATCTCCTCCACAGATCTCCTTCCAGCATCCTCTCTCTCATAACACAGCGCTGGGAGTTCAAACTGGTTTAACAGGAGGTTAGCACAGAAACAGCCGCACGCACGCTGAGCGACAGCCACTGACCTCCATGTTTCCTCTGCAGAGCCTGAAGTCAGACGAGGAGGCAGGAAGTCAGAAGGAGAGCATCCAGACTGAAGGTATTTTATTTTATAATCAGTGTCTGACCTCGTCCTTCTGCTCCTCAAGCTGGACCCTGAGGAACCGTCTGAGGGTTTGGTCCTTCATGTACATGTTCTGCTTGGTTCCTGCTGTGAAAGAAGATTAAACACATTTCTACAGTAGAAGTGCTCACCAGTAAAGTAATAGAAACATGCTACCTATGTAGCTAAAGTCATAGCAAGAAGCTAACTCCACATAGAACATACAGAAGAAAGCTAACTGTCTGGCTGAGGTCAAAGAAGCTAAATAAACAGCTAAAGTCATAGCAGGAAGCTAACTAACCCTAACTAATATAAAGACAGCTAGCGTCATAGCAGGACGCTACATGTTTGCTGGATAATTATTCATACAGTAAAGCTGTGGATGAAACAACCACATGGTGTTCATCAGATGATCAGTTTAAATATCTGTGATCAGTATAGTTTGAAGACTGACACAATTCAAGGAGCTTCAGAGACCCTGACTCAGCCTGGGCTTTCAGCAGCGTCTCATGGCCTTCATCGAGGATGATACTTATTCAGGTGTCAAGATGATGTGGCTCTGATCCATCCTCTGATCTTACAGAACTTCTCCTGGATTTTGCTGAAAGCTCCAGAAAAACCAACTCAGTGACCGAAGTGAAGAAGTCAAGCTTGCAGCTGAATTTTCTGTGTTATTTTGCTTTGGCTGTGTCGAGCAGGTCGTCAGCAGGAAGAGGTGGAGCTCGGGGTTGGTGGAGGGCGCCATGTGCTGACGGCGGTGTGTGACCACCTGGGTCTGCAGCACCTCCACACTGAGGTAGCGGAGGGCTTCACGTCAGCTCATCTCACCTGTTAGCGTCTTCTCTGTAGCCCAGCGGTGGCCTCATGTATAAATGCCTGTGACCGTAAACAGGACGTGGACGTGCTGCTCAGGAAGCTGGACGCCGACCTGGAAGGCAGAGTCAGCATCAGGGAGTTCAAGAAGGTGCTGTGTGGCTCCGCCCCCATGTCCTGCTCCACCCCCATACGATCAGCCGACCTGCAGAGGGCGCCACATGGGGTCAGACTCTCTCATTACCTGCTACAGCCCTGATTGTGTTAGACTGCACAGGAAGTACAGGTTTGGTGAAAGCATTAGAACCAGACATTCTGACTAAATAAATTAACATAAAGTCTCCAGACGTCTCTTCAAAGTGAATGTTGAAACCTGCAGCTGATTTACAGACAGTCTTAAGGACGGTCCCTACGGTGGGAAACCGAGACAATCAGAAGCTCTAACTGTGGTCAGCATGTTTAAATCAGGGAGGAGGAGCTGTGTCTGCTCACAACCGTGGTTTGATCTCCTCAGAGGTCAAACCTGAACATGTGCAGTTAAAACATAAAGCGTGTGCAGCTGAATAGCTCAAATTATATCATGCTGCAGCTCAGTTCTCAGTTTATCAGCAGCTCCTGAATGCAGCACCGCCTGCAGCCCAGTCAGGAGCCTCTGCTGCAGCTGACAGTCATCAGTCCAATCAGAGCCAGGTGAGCAGGTGAACAGGTGAACAGGTGAGCAGGTAGCAGCTCACACGCAGACAGCTACATGTCACCATGTACTGCACTTCAGGTCTGATGTCAGGCTGCGGCTTCTTAACATGGGTGAGGACGGACAGGATGAGCGCCGCCGCATCCCGCCGCTCTCAGGTACAGGTGAGGTGCTGCTGCTCTCAGGTACAGGTGAGGTGCTGCTGCTCTCAGGTGGGAACTTTCCCACAGAGTTTCACCTGTTTACCTGTTTACCTCTGAGTTACCTGGTGACTGTTTCAGCCAATCAGGAGCTGAACAGCAGACTGGGAGCTGTGAGCTACTGACATCAGTAATGTGAACAACAACAGACCTGAGTGTGGTTCAGGACCGTCAGCGTTAATGTTCCTGTGGTACTGGGTCCAGTTCATCCTGGCGCTGGTCCGCTCTTCATGTTGAGATGCTAAGTAAACAGAAATCAACGTTCTCAGCGTCTCATCTGAAGAAAAGCGTCTTTAAGTCTTTAAACTGGAGTCCTGAACATCCTGAGTAGAACTGGGCTGGTCCAGATTACATGTTCTTCTGTGGAGTCTCACTCTGTTGATCCTACAGACTCAGACGGTTCTGGAGGAGCGCTCAGCCCGGTCTGCCTCGTCCTCCCTGCTCAGCGCCACCGTGGGTCAGAAGGTCCTCAGCCGGCTGGACGACGGCTCGGGATCCACCAGCCCCGACCAGGTCATCGGCCTCTGGACCGAGGAGGGCATCAGGAACAGCCGGGACATCCTGCAGGTCAGTGTGGACCAGAACCAGGACCGGTCAGAACCAGGTCAGACCAAGTCCTGAACTCCGTCTCCTCAGTAACAGTCTTAGCAGGTGGGTGGCCTCCATGAGCTCTGCTGCTGCATGTTCTTCATGCTCCTGTATGAAGACTCCGGGTTCCCGGTCCAGAAACAACACGACCCGGTTCAGTCATTCTGGACACGTGTAAATCAGTTTAGCAGGTAGTAAAGCCGTTTTCTGCAGTTATTGAGTCATTTCAAACACAGTTTGAGTCACTTTGGACACGTTTTTGAGCCGTTCTGGACGATTATGAGTCAGTTTGGACAA